GGACAGACGGATTCGGCCATGTGTGAAACAATAGCAACAACAGAATGTAAAACGGAAACCACAGAGGACCTCTCGGTTCCAACGTGGACTTGGCACCTACGGTGCATCTAGCCGCTACTCAGGACCAAGGGTAAGGGTTTCTCCACAGGAAAACTCTGGATAACAATTACTACAGCTTTAAGTCTTAAAAAACACCCCATAAGACAGTGTTTACTTTGAGTTTCCCACTTTACCAGCTCTGGCTACAACTCGAGCGCGAATGTGCCTGAGCTCAGCTCGTAAAACACTCACGTCCAGGACTGTCCACCGAAAGAGTTGGAAGTGGTTCACTGAGAGAAAATATTCAATTAATGGAAATCCTTTCACTGGATGGAGTTTCACAAACAGCACTGCCCTCTTGCCCCAGCAGCTGAAGGTACATAGTGTCAGGTAACTGGGTGCCCACCACCACTCCGCCCACCATCACCAGCTTCCTTCAGCTCCTCTACACACTGACACCAGCAGGAAAGCTTTTTCTTGGAATTGCCGCAAGTGCCAGATTAGCCTTCACAAAAGTCTGGCTTGAAACTCCCAGGCTCAATTTGGCGAAGCAGAAATATCTTTTCTCAGCGTTCTGGAAGCAGTGGAATTCTAAGCAGCCTACTTCAGATATTGTATGTACTTGAAATAGACTCTGTTCTCTCTTAGACACACAAATTATAATTTGTCTGCCCCCACTCTCATCAAAGCTGACAGTGAAAAACAATATTTGAGATTTTATTTCAGGTACTTTTACACCCATATTTTATTTCATATACTCGCTCATAATCACAAAGTATTAATTCCAGATTAATCACCTACCAGACTATGAACTATTTAAGGACAAGAAGAGTGTTCATCTTTCTATCTAGTGCATATTTTGCATATAGTGTATCAAGCATAGTGGTCAATTTATAAGGTTTCTGTAAGCCAAGATGTGTTTAGTAATGAATCTGTCTATGAAATGTTCACAACATAGTTTCCTCTTTTCTAAGAATATGTATCTTCAGTTCTGCAAGTATGGCTGTGTAGACTCCTAACAGGATGACCATTTATAGATAACAACTATAAATTCTTAAACTCCAGACAAAATACAAAAACCAATTGTCTGAAGCCTTTGGAGAATGATCAAAAGCAAGGGGATTCTGGAAGAGAGTCAAGACTTGGAAGACTGGGCCTGGACAAACTTACTGGTTTAGAGTTTTTAGCCTGGGTGGCAGAGTCTGAGGCAACCACAGTGCCGAAATGCGAGGGAGGGATACTAGGAAAGACAGAGTTGGGGGGGGGGGGCTCCAAATTTGTGTAAAAATCCGCCCAAATCTTGATCCCTAGGACCCTGTTGCCAAAAACAAATGCAGAAGTCAAACTAAGAAAAGAACTGAACTGAGATGTGCACTCTACTCAACAAGTCTGCTGTCTGAATCCAAAGTCACCGACATTCCTCAAACAGCAGAACAGAATCCAGAGTCTTGACAACACAACACTCACGACCCCCAGGGTACAATCCAAAATTACTTGACACACAAAAAAACTGGAACACTATGCCTGACTATCAAGATAAGTTTATCAATTCAGGCCAAATCCAAGATGACTAGGATTTTAGAATTAGAGACTTTAAAGCACCTATTTTATCTGGACTCAATAACACAAAATAATGTAACACCTATAATGAATAAAAAGCAGAAAATCTCAGCAGAGAAAGAACATTTTTTACATACACATACTTGAATAGGAATCAAATAATAAATTCTGAAACAGATCGTTACAATGCCTGATATAAAAATTTATCTGATGGGCTTAACAGGAAAATGAAGATAATGTAAGAGATAATCCATGAATTAAAGATACAGAAGTATAAATCGATCTGAAGAATGGAGCAGGGAGAGGGGAACAGAGAAAAGAGATAGAGGAACCATTCTGAGAATATCAAAATGGTGACCATACGTGTAACTGGTTTCCAAAGGTGGAGAAAGAAAGGGGCATAAAAATATCTGAAAAAGTAATAGCTAAAATATTATGATGAAATAGATAAATCTCTTGTCAGGGGGTTGGGGGGGGGAGACAACAAAAGATGAAATGGAAATCTGATTAGCACCATGTCAATTAAAGACTTTGAATTCACCATCAAACTGAAGGCTCAAAGGGTTTCACTGGTGAATTCTATCAAATACTGAGGATGAAACAGCATCAGACTGACATAAATTCTTTGGGGTTAAAAAAAAAAAAAAAAAAGGAAAGGAACACTCCTCACTATATGAAACCAGCATAACACTAATATCAAAATCTGACAAATATGTTATATATGAAAAAAAAATTATAGGCCAGTATTGCCCATGAACATATAGGCATTTGAACCCAACAAAATATAAGACATAATAATAAGTAGGGTTTAACCCACGAATCCAAAGTTGGTTTAATTTAGACAAATCAATAAAATTCACTATATTAACAGTGTAAAGAAGTAACCTTCTATGTTCATTTCAATAGATACAGAAAAGGCCATTCAATGGAATTCACCACCCAGTCAGGATCAAATCTCTCAGCAAAACAAACAGAAGGGGACTTCCTCCACCTAACAAAGGGCATCTACAAAACCCCCTGGCTGTTACCACTCTTAATGCTTTCCATTCTGGGAACAAGGAAAGAAGGCCTAATCTCACTGCTTGTACTCAAGCATTACACAGAGATCCTAGCCAATACAATAATGTAAGGTAAATAAATAAAAAGCATAAAAATTGGAGGAAAGAAGTAATCTGTTTTGTAGATGATAAGACTGTAGACACAGCATATCCTAAGTAATCTATAAAACAACTCATGAAAACAATTGAATTTGGCAAGGTAGCAGAATGTAAGGTCAATACACAAAATTTTCTATTAGAAGGAAAAAAATAGAAAATAAAATTTTAAAATATCTATTGTACAATAATATCAAAAAAACATAAAAAGATTTAAGAATGAATTTAACAAAATTGCAAGTAAGAGTTTTACCCTGAAAAGCATAAAATGATAATAGCAATTTAGAAATCTAATAATGGAAAAAAATTAAAAAATAAATAAAAATCTATTAATGGAAAGATATACCATGTCAAGGAAGAGAAGACTCAATGTTATTAAGATGTAGTATTTCCACAAATTAATCAATACAGTGCAACAGAATGTTTTGTGAAAGTTAATAATTCTTAAATTTACATGGAATTGAAAAGGACCTCTATATAAGTAGTCTTAAAAAAGAAAGGACAACGTTGAAGGGACTGCATCACTCAACTTCATGCCTTATTATAAAAAGCTACAGTAATGAAGATAGTATGGTAATGGCATATGGATCCATAAATAGATGAATGAAACAAAAATGAGTGTGCAAAAAATAGACTCCCGCTTACACAGTTATGTAATTTTCATCAAAGGTGCTAACACCATCAATGGGAGGAAAACATTTTTCAACAAAAGGTACTGGAAAAACTGGATATCTACATGGAGAGAAAATAAATTTTGAACCCTCTGCATCACAACATAAACAAAAAGCAATTTGCAATGTATCATAGACCTAAAAGTAAAAACTATAATGGTAAAGCTTTTAGAGAAATACAGGAGACTAGCTTTATAACTTATAAACAACTCTAGCATCTCTTTGAAGCTGGCAAAGATTTGTTAGTGGACAGAAGGTAATAATCATAAGAGGAAAGAAAACTTGATATAGTAGACAGACATCAGGAAATTAAAAACTTCTATAGATCACAAGACACCCTGAAGAAAATGAGAGGAAAGCCAGAGACTGAGCCAAATAGTCACAAAATACATCTAACGAAGGACTTATTTTGGGACATTTAGAAAAGCTCCTACAACTCAATGACGAGAAGACATACAGACCATTTACAAATAGGCAAAGGACCTTAAAAGACACTTCGAAAACAGAAGATACAGGAGGGGCCAGTAAGTACATGAAATGAACACATCATTACTAATCAGGGAAATGCTAATAAACACCACAGGAAAATACCAACATACGATCCAAATGGTCAAAAATTCAACAGATTGAGAACATTGGACACTGATGAGGATACAGGGCCACTACAACTGGCTCACACTGTTCCTGGAAAAGCAACAAGGTATGATCACTTTGGGAAAAAGTACGGCAATTTCTTGGAAAATTAAATACATAGCAAGTTAAATCTTACGTGTATATCTACTCAAAAGAAATAAAAACGTAACACAAAATGTATGAAAATGTGTGAAAACTTGTATGAAAATGTTCACGGTAATTTAATCTATAAGAACCTGAAACTGAAAACTGCCCTGGTGAATGAATGAATAAATTTATTGTTGCGTATTCAGATAATGGACTACTACTGAGCAGTCAAAAGTAATGGACTACCAATGTACACAACAGTATGCATAAATCATGCCCACGAACACTCAGCAGAAAGAAAAACAAGATAGAAAGAGTATCAATGTATCAAGTCATGCCAAATCTAAAATGACCAAGATTTAGAATCAGATAGAAACTTTAAAGTACCTATTGTAATCATGTTCAATGACATAATGCTTACAATAAATGAGAAATAATATTATCTCGAACAGAGAAGTAGAGTAGATAATATTTTGAACATTCATGTGCTTACACTCAGTGCTAAGCGTTTAATATGGATAATCTTATTTAATTCTTAACAATCCAATCTCATCTTACAAATTAAGAAATTAAAGTAGAAGTTACGTAGGTTATCCAAAGTCACATCGCTAGGATGATTCAGAAGCATAATTCTTTAGGGCTCCCTAACTCACATTAGAGTCAAACAGAAAAAGATAAAATCACTAGGTAAGTTTTTAATTTTTAATTAACTTTAAAAGTGTGCCTGTATTGGTATGAGGTAGGGGAGGGCTATGCTAAAGGAAAACACCTCAAGAAAATACCAAACAGAACATAAACTCAACATCTGCTCCCTTGTGATTAGGTTTGCCACAACCTGCAAACCTCGCTGTCTTACCTTAGGGAACTGCTTTACAGGGATTAACACTTTCTGTCCCAGCTTCATGTTCTTATTAATCACCACATCGATGTACTTTTCTTCATCCTTGCCTTCTCCTTTTTGAAACTTTTCTATTTCTGTGGAGGAAAAAAGGTAACCATGAAGTGTCTGATTTAGAACCCCAGAGGTTGGAAGTTCTTGTTAGCATTATTGTGGCATGGTATCAAGTACAGAAATACGGACTACCCAATCAACAGGAGTTTTTCAAGTAACGGCATATTTCCCATTTTATCAAACCTCCTTCACCAGCAGAAAAAAGGCATGTACCATGGCTCTGCAAAGTCTAATCTCAACAGCCCACTCTAATGGAGGGAACAATGAACTAACTAAAAAAACCAGACACAAAAATAAGTTTCTTGGGGCCTTCTGGAATCCTAGTGAGAGGCTGCTCAAACCGCTGAGAAGAGTTCAGAAAACATTCTCCATTCAGTGTTACCAAGTACTGACATCCCTATCCATTAGCTTCTGGTTCTCCGAGGCTTACACCACAGATTGATTCTTTATGATGGCATGAAAAGTCCCGCACAACTTTGTCCGTTGACCTCCCCAACCAAATCTACCCTTCTCACAAGTGACCCGTATCAACTACACGTTCATGTCTTCATTAACATTCTTTTCGCTGCCTGTAATGTTATTATTTCAACGTCATACACCTCCTTCAAGATTCAGCCACACTGAATACTATTTTTTAATGTGTGACAATCCCTTTCACCAATGAGGCAGGAAGGAAGGAATCAATCCCTGCCACCTTGATGCTCAGAAAACACTTCATGTACAACTCTACTATGACTCCTCTTGAAAAGAAAATGTGGTGCCTCCATAGTTTATCTCCATTACAGACAATGTCTGGAACCTCCCATTCACAGGTTGAAATCCTAATCCCCAAAGTGATGGTCTTAGGAGGTGGGCGGTTCTCGGAGGTGATTAGGTCATGAGGGTGGAGCCCTCAGGAGAAGGACTAGTGCCTTACGAAAGAAACTCTAGGCGTGGAGCTCCTTCACCCTTTCTGCCACAGGAGGACACAGCAAGAGACCTGCTGTCCGCAAACCAGGAGATGGGTCCTCACGTGACACCAAATCTGTAGGCATGTGAATCTTAGACTTCCAGCCTCCGGAAGTGTGAGAAATAAATTTCTGTTGTTCATCAGCTCCCCAGTCTCTGGTGTTCTGCGAGAGCAGGCCGAGTAGACCAAAATACTCTCCCACCAGAACATAAATCTCTCTTAGGTAAAAATCTGTCTCTTCATCCAATAAACATCTGCCACTAAGCACACACCACGTGCACCTCCCAGCCCCTGGAACATTTCAGATGCTGTTTCCTCACGCTGCTGCCTACAGCCTACAGCTGCCTACAGCTGCCTACATCTGGCCGTCCAAGAGGTACACAAGCAGGTGTCTGAATGAGAGCTGAATGAATGTGTACACGCACTGCTCCTTCCAGAAGGACCACAAGATACGCAGGTTCAAGGAAGGGAACCACAGCATGGAGAAGGCCCAAAGATGGCATCTGGTGTACAAAGGGGCAAACATATTCACTTGTTCTGCTTATTGGGCTAGGAATACTTAAGAATTTAATATGTGCCACATTCATGACATAATTCAATCCTCACAAGAGTTGGCAAACAGGAAGTTCTAAAAGGTTACTTTGCTGATAGCAAAGGCAGGATTTACCTCCAGTTTTGCCTACGATAAAGACAGTATGCCACTGCCGTCTTTCCCACCATTTTTTATGTCATGTAAGACAGAAAATAAGATTTTCATCACACCTTAGGATACATGAAGGCTCTGCTGACAGCTGGAGATTTCAGTCACCACTAAGGAGCCCAATGGCATTGATGCCTCCCCTCCTCTGCCCCCTACCCCTCCATCTGCTCCTCAGAGCTAAACCCCCAATTGTCTTACTTGTATTCAGAGCTGAACCTGATCTCTCTTCTCCACAAGACCGTCTTGACACCTATCATGCTAGTCCCGAATAAAGTCGTCCTTTCTATTTTAACAAGTATCAGAATAATTTTTTCTTTAACAATGCACGGTAAAAAGTCAGTATATATGTGGGACATAATGAAAAATATATATTTGGTCTTTGTCCCAGGTTCCTGGCACAGATTTCCCAGAACCCTACGAGTTTCCTGAGAGACAGGAGTGCACTTTATCATTCCTAACAAGCCCCTTTCAACCATACAGGCCTTTATGCTAATGAGAGGACTCTTGGAGGAAGAGGGAGCTGGCTGCCAGAAAAACCAACCATGTGAAAAACCAAGCAAGTGCCAAGCTGGCACGTTCAGCACTCCCACCCGTGGAGAGAGAAGAGGAGCTAGAAGGAGTTCAATCATCAGTGACTTAGTCAATTGTGCCCACATAATGAAAACACCATAAAACCCCCTCAACAACAGGGTCTGGGAGGGTGGAGTGCCCAGACAGGGCAGGGAAGCCCCGCGTCCTTTCCCCAACACCTTGCCTCCACACCCCCTCTTCTGTTTGACTATTTCTGACTTGTATTTTTTAGAACAAACCATAATGGGAAGTAGAGTGCTTTCCTGAGTCCGAGAGTCACTCTAGCGCATTCCTGAACCTGAGGCTGAGTCATGGAAGCCCCACGCTTGCAGCTCATCAGGCGGCAGTGTGGGTAGCCCGGACACCACATCCGCAGCTATGTCTGAAGTGAGGGGACTCTTGCGGGACGCAGCCCTCCTCCTTGGCGGGGCGGGGGCGGGGGGGTTCGTCCCCTAATGGTGGGGGAGTCATCCCCTAACTCTAGGAGCCACTGTCAGAACTGAACTGGATGGAGTTGCTGGACAGCCAGTTGGTGCTGGAGACAGGGCTGGTGTCAGGAGACACTACACAAAAGGGACTACAAGTGCGGAGGAGGAAGATGGAGACAAGCAGGAAAAGCCCAGAAGAAAATACTAAACTTCCAAATAAACTGATTCTTTTGTCTGCTCTCTTGTATCATCCTAGGTTTTCATCCAGAAAATGGATTCTAAACAGAATCTGTATGGGAACAATGTACACAAAGATAGAAGAATGTGAAATGCAAAGATTTACTTGGATGATTCTTGTTACTGTTGTTGAAAACACCTTTAAGAGTACTTTGAATTTTGACTTTTTCCTATAAAAATGAAATATATACATGGTAAAAATTTAAAACAGTATAACAGGATACAAAATCAAAAGAAGAGAGTCCTCCCACACCCATAGTCCAGAGGTAAGGACTGTAACAGTATCATACAGTCTTCTAGAAGTTCTCCAGGAATACATAAGGACACACTTGCACGTGCACACGCACACACACGGGGTTTAAATCTGGAGAACTGGTGTACATGAGCTAAACTAGTTTCATTTTCCTTGGTAAAGAACAATAAGTCGCATGCCATCTGCTCCATCAAGTGTATTAATTCATGACTTCAGCTTTAATTAGAAGAAAATTAATTCCACATTTTTATTTATGCATTTATGCTACAATTGGAAATGCCTTTAGCATATAAGATTCAACAAAATTAGATATAAGTTGTAGAAAGAAAAAAAACTTTTAACATACATAAATGTTTGTTAAAATAAGTGTGATTACCTATTTCAGATAACACTGCATTTTTATGATTTTGAGCACTTATATCATATGGACAACACGTAACTTCAGAGTCAGCATTCAAATGTTATTCCTAGCATCAGTGACAGTAAACATTTTAAGCAACACATAAAAGCATAAAGATTAAAATATTAGAAAAATTTGTATTTTACAATATATTACATTAAAGTTTGAGATACACCTATGATTTTGGAAGGGAAAATAAAAATTTTTTAAAATATATAAAATATCTAATTTCCTCTCTAGACCATCAACTTTGAAAATGTTCTGTTGCTAAAATATCTTGTTACTTTAAGTAAGCTTTGAATTATGTTAAAATAAAAAGTATTTCACTGTGTAAGATTTATTTGAAAATTGTGAAGGCCTGAGGCCATTCCACGACCGTGCTGGTCTGCAAGGACTGGACTCAGCAGACTGCACAGCGGCAGAGGGAGCCCCAGTCCCTGGGGGGTCCAACGCGCCTGGCTTAAACCACAGCTACTGTACTTTCCCCAGACCTTCCAGCTACCAAATTCAAAACTGGTCAAAACTTCTGTGGTCTTTTTAGGGACTATTCATTCAATCAACAATTTTGTAATTTCCACCTGACTGAGGATTGTAAGTAGTCTCATGTTTTCATTAAGTCCCATAAAATACAATGCAAAAAAAAAAAATCACGGGGATGGGGATTGTACAAAATGATATATGAAATAATGGAACAGCTTTCTGGTATTTACGCCTCTCCCTTCCTGGGAGTTTCATTTTCCAAAGCCCATGTGACCACCTCTCTCATCTTCCGTAGGGAAGGAAAGGTACTTGACCTCCCCACAAGGTGGATATGACCTCTTAGTTTAACTGTAGCTAGTAAAGGCCAACCATAGAGAAAATCCAATCCAGTTTCTGAGGTCGAATGCATGAGGGATTTGACTTTTGTTACTAATCCCCAGATTACATTTGTTACCACACAGTGCAGTGTACCAATGACATCTCCCAGCTCAGAAATAATAAGCAAATGTGTGATTAGGTTTTAGATAATGTAGGGGATTATAATGTTATGCTTGCAAACCATGGACATCTTTTTTTTTTTTTTTTAAGATTTTATTTATTTATTTGACAGAGACACGGCGAGAGAGGGAACACAAGCAGGGGGAGTGGGAGAGGGAGAAGCAGGCTTTCCGGTGAGCAAAGAGGCCGATGAAGGGCTTGATTCCAGGATGCTGGGATGAGTATCTGAGCCAAAGGCAGATGCTTAACCACTCTAGCACCCCTGCAAACCATGGACATCACATTTCTGTCATCCCAGAAGTCAAGGGTCAGTTACAATGTCTTTTTTTTTTTTTTTTACAATGTCTTTTTTATTTGTTCATTTCTTTTTTTGTTTTTGCCTTGGGTGACTACAGGGCTTCCTAAAGCAATGGCCATTTACCTTTTTATTTTAGCCCATCAAATACAGTAAAGTCCACTAAGCCTCTATGAAACAGCCAAATTACCTTTGGATTTACATGTGTTAAAT